AGGCCCTAGTGAGTCTCTTCCAGGTTCCAGAGCCCTGAGGACTATCCGAAGGCTTGGAAGAAACTTGGGGAGGGGTGTGTCTATGGTTCCAGCAGTTGGGATGGTGGCCAAATGCAATGGTAGAGGGAAGCCCAAAGTTAAGCAGCCCCCTTCAGTGTCCTGGATAAACTAACAGGAACCCAGGGCCTTCCCTCCAGGAACAAGGTCACATGTCCCCACCCTGGACCAGCCCTTGCTGGCTTGATTCCTGTTGGATTTGGGTGACTTCCTGACAGAGGGAGATGAGGGAGTGTGGGGTAGTAAAGTTCTTCCTCTCAACTGTAAAACCAAACCTGGTCTTTTTATCCTTTGCTCTCCATGCCCACTGGTCAGCTCTCGGGTGTTCCGCCCTCTGGCCTCCTGGGGAAGAGGCTCCAGCCACTGGCCACTGACTGGAGTGACTTGAAAAGCCCTGGCACTCCCCTTTTGGGTCTTTGAGTGGAAGGCAGAGAACGTCTATCCAGCAGAATACTATACTAAAGGCCTTCATCTGAGGCCCCAATTCTCCAAGGTGCATTCACAATAAGCATGCAAGGCACACCCTAAGGCTGCTGGCAGGACTGGGAACTCTACCTGGAGTGCTAGGGTCCTTTTAAACCTACACTCCCTTGTCATATTCACCCCAATAGGTGTGCACAGAATTCCTACTGCCAGGGCTGCAATTCAGCGGATGGGAACCAAGGACACGCGGCCTTCAACTGAGCCTGTCATATTCACCCTAATAGCTGGGCAGCAAGAGTCCCACAGAAGCCCAGCGAATGGGGGTAGAGCTGCAGATGCTTCTCACCAAAGCCAGACCTCAGGCCCAAGTCCTGTGAATGGTATCTCCCATTCCCCACACACAATATCTACCCCAGCAGGTGGGCAAATCAACCCCACTGTGACTAGAAGGCCATGCACCCTCTGCATATTGGAGGTGGGGTGGGCATCCCTGAATAGAAGCCTCTGAGAATGGGCACCTTGTGAGCCAAGGGGGGAAAGGACAAAGGCACAGGGCACCAGGGCCCTTTGCACCACTTCCACTTGATCTCAGAGGAAGCAGGGCTTCCCTCTGCTCAGAGCCCTGAGGTCACGGTTCCTCCCTTCCAGAGGTCACGGTCTACCTTGGGACAGCGTATTGTGGCTGACTTGCCCTAGTGCTGGACCAAGGAGGTGAGCCAACAATGGTCACAGGGGCAGCCTGGTCAGCAGCCGACAGGGGTAGGGTCCCCCAAATCCTTTCCCTATTACCATTTAAACTTTATAAACATGGTCATGTCTTAGTGTTCCTGAGTCTGGCTTCCTAACAACTGGGTCACAGGTGACAGCGTGATGAAGTACTAGGTGTCCTTTGAGCTTAGTTCCTCTGCAGGCCCCATTCCTCACACAGAAGTGATCACCTGGGGAGGCCCACACTGTGCATCCTTCCATCCAGGGAAGGGAGGGAACGACCGGTCTTGCCTCCTACCCCTCAAAGCTGGTGAAGCTGGACATGAGGTAGAAAGGGATTGGGGCAGCTAGTGCCAGCCACTGACTTCCTGGGCTTTCCCTTCAGCCTCACAGGGGCAGGGGACACCCATTCTGTGGCAGGCCCTGGGGACAGAGCCTAGAGCAGACACTCAGGCAACAGAGAACAATGACAGCAACAGCACCCTTAGCAGGCTGGCTCTGGCCCAGCTGTTTTCTTTATATTAAGCCATTCAATTAAATACAAAGTTGAGTTAATTTCAGATACAGACAAATGCTGTTAAGAAAACAAAACACGCTACAAGCTACTTTAGAATGGATGCTTCAGGACAAGAACAGAGGGTGTCTTACACAAGTGACACCTGGGTTGAGACCTGACTTAATGGAGCCCACCTCATGCAGACCTGTGGGATAGCTGCCAGCAGAGGCTCTATGAATGCATAGGCCCTGGGGTAGGGAAAGCAGGCCTGAGGCTGGATCCTGTGGAGTTAGGGTAGGCAAGGAAGGCAGGGACCAGGGCATTTCCGGTTTGTGGGCCATGGACTTAACCTGAGACCCATGGTGCACTGTGAAAGACTCTGAATGGGGAGGGTACATGATGTGGTTTATATTTTTAAAGACCATGCTAGCTGCCAGCCAGAGAAGGACTGGGCAGGGCAGGAAGGAGAAGCCTGTGAGCTGGCAAACGTGGTGCTCTAGGCAAGAGCGAGTGACTGAGAGAGCAGGGAGGCTGGCCGGGAGGGAAGAGCAGATGTGGGGCTGGCTTTGGAGGCCAGCAAAGCATTTGCTCTCACCCGGGCTGGTCTGAGACTTGCAATAAAGGCCCTCTGACAATCCTACATCCCCCTACACTGTCTGACAAGGCTCAGGGCCCGAGCAGTAGGGACCTGGTCACATTTGTTTCAACGACCTGGATGTCCTTAATAAGGCTATGATGGCCCAGGCCACATTCGGGCCTCTCACACTCGTTACAGAGCCCCTCACTCCCATCCCACAGGTCTGTGATCCTGGCTGCAGGTCCTGTTCCTCAGGACCCCTGAAGCAGCTCCAGCCTGCCCCACATCTTGGTCTTACAACATTCCTTATCTTGGAGGGTGGATCCCCACCCAGCTCTCTGAACAAAGAACTCCAAATCGGAGTCACAGTTTTGTCCCCTCCCCCATCCCAAGCCATAGTCCCAAGGACAAAGCTGGTACCCACTCCTTTATCTTAGGTTTCCGCACACGGTACATTCTTACCTATCTCCGTTCCCAGGCACCCAGTTGGGAAAAACTTCCATGCTTAAAGAACATTTCAATCCAAAGTCCCAATCCTTCAAACTTGACCCACCGCAAGCTCTCCTCTCTGTACCTGCATCTCCCCAAAAAAGCAGCCAGCAACGTAGAAGTGACCCAGCCATGGTCCAGCTCCCACCTGCCTGAGGGACCCTGAGCAGCCAGTGGTCTCACCTGCAGGTTCTAAATTCTCTTTCCTTAGGCTGCAGATTCAAGAAGTCATGCAGCAAATCTGCCACCAAGAGCAATATTCTTCCTATGTGACAACCACAGTAGCACGTGGACCTCCTAGGCAGGCAGCAGGCCTGTGGGCTGATAGCCAGCAGCTCTGACCTTCTGCACCACCCAACGCACGACGATGGCCACTTGAGCTCTCTGTCAGCCCTGCAGCCACCCAGTGGCTCTACCACCTGACCCCAGGACCCCAGACCAGATCTGCCTCGGTGGGACGGTTCCCTTCACGTCCAAATAACCTGGGCCCTTCCATGCACCCCTGTGCACCCCGTACCTCAGCCCCTCTCCAGCCCACTGTCTCAGGCCTCACTGAGACAAACCTACACATATCTCAGCTACAGTCCCACGCTCCTACAGTCCCACGCTCAGACTCACCTTTCCCCAGAACACTGCACGGACTTGGGGCGGGGCGTGCATTAAATAAACTCTCCACTGTTTGTAATGTGTGGGATACTTGCACTTATGCGGGACCTGAACCACACAGTACGCACTGGGCACAAGTCCCTAAAACACACCTGCCAGACAGACAACAATCTTCACACCATGGGCTTGTCACAGACTGTTTCTGCCCTTCTCCAAGCACAGCATGTCAGATCACTACTGGAGCTCAGAAAGCTTCTGGAAAGCCTAGATTTCAGGACGGAAATTGATTCTGGACATTCTCCGCATGGTAAATATGATGGGCACTGGGGGTGGGGACGGGTGCTGCATTCAGCATCTGAAAGAGCTGAGGGCAGTCCTTTGAAGGCCCAGGCCCAGGGCGAGCCTTCCGCTGACATCTAGCATGTGCAGGTGAGGTTCAACACCAGCGCAGCCGTCTCCCTGAAACTAGGCTCAGGGTTGCAGGTCGGAGGATTCTCACCCAGCCGGTCTGCTTTGTCACCTTCTCTAAACACAGCCTGGCAAGCCAGACCAGACAGACGCGTGCAGCTCACTCCCTGGCACCCAAGCCCCTTGGTAAAGGCTCCCCCCACCCTGCCCCACACACGTGCAGACAGACAATGGATTTGCAGGTCGGGAGCCTGGAGCCCAAGGGGAACTGCCAGACACCACTACCTGGTCCTCAGGTCTTCATGGACCTGTGTGCCACCAGACAAACCCTCTTGGTCATTCTCGAACCCTTCAAGTTCAAGGATCAGCAAGGTCCCCCATAACAAGGAAATGGGGTTCAACCGTGGCCAAGGCAGACAGCACTCACCCCATTATTCTTGGAGGGGCAGGTTTCTGTTCACTCTGGTCCTAACTTCAGTCAGTAGCTGACAGAAATAGCTAGCTGTCTGGCTTGGAGGGAGGGCGCACCTGGGAAGCCCAGGCTGGACCTACAGCTGGGAGGGGCTGTGAGCCCCAGGATCCCCAGGCAGGACCCTCCCTCTTACCTCTGGAATCCTCAAGTACACAAGTCCCTCTTGGAGACTCAGGTCCCCCACACAATGCTTGAGGCTCCCTCTTTTCTTTTAGGGCATCAGGGGCCTGGAGAGGGAGGCTGTGGGTGGACAGAGGCAGGGGGCGGAGGTCTTCTCAACAGCTTACAGTCCAGGCAGCCCTGGCTCTGAGGACTCAGAGAGAACCAAGCCCAGAGCTGGGATGTCAGACCCAGGATCTAAGGGCATCTCCTAAACAATCCCTGCCCGAAAGATGAGCTGGGGTACAGACCCTTCCACTCCCAGCATCTGTGGCAGTCAGATCTGATCACCCTCGCGCCTGGGCCCTGCTCCTTTAAGTCCCACCAGGCACACAGCAGGCTGGGCGCGCCGCTCCCACACGGGCCCCACCCGCCACCAGCCAGTCCAGCGCCCCAGCTCCCTGTGCTACCATCGAGAGCAGACGCCCAGCAAGGCACTGTCAGAGTTCTGGGGGGCTGCGACCAGGCCTTGGGGGGCCCAGGGTCTGCGGCGGAGCTCCTGACCCCCAAGCCGGCCCCCAGCGGCTAGCTGGACGCTCTGCGCTGCTCGGCGACCCCTCCCGGGCCTTCCCGGTCCCTCCCTACCCCTGCCGCTGCGCTCCTACCTTGCCGCGCGCTCCCTCTGTACTCTAGGCCAGGCCAGGCTGGGCCGAGCGCGGGGACTCAGCTGGCCGCGCGGGCCTGGCCGCAGGAAATGCCGAAGGACTGATCGAGCAGCGTTAGGCGGAGCGAGGGAGCGCGGAGGGCGGAGGCGGGCGGGCCGGCGGAGGGAGGAGGGCGCGGCAGCCGTAAAACCCGGACAGATCCGCGCGCTGGAGCGGGCATGGGGACCCCACTGCGCACCCGCACCTTCACAGGAGAGCTCCGCCTCTCCACACCCCCTGCCTCTGGCGCACCCCGGGCCTCCCAGGCTCCCCCTAACAAAGACACAGATGCCCCTGAGAATGGCCAGAGGATCGGATCGGAGAGGTGGTGGCGAGCCAGAATCAGTCTTGTGGGGTTCTCACATTTAGAGGTGCTGGACAGTGTAGTGGTTGCAATTGTACACACACCTCAAGCCCACTCTTGCCAGAGTGTGGGATGCCTCCTTGCCTTTCCTCACTCGCCCCAAACTGTCACTCCCCGGATGCAGGTGGGATTCTGAAAGGTGGGGAGACTTTTCCAAACAGAACTTGAGAGGGGGCAGCATTAGACCTAGCAAGGGGCTGCTTCCCACATGACCTGTGCTGCTCCCAGAGTTGTGTCTCCAGGTCTGCACTGTCGGATGGTTTGCAGGGCATTTGGGCTGCCCTAAGCCTGGGGATCATGGGATGCCATGTGGGGTGAGCCTGGGGTGCTTGGCTGCCCAGCAAGGCTCCTTTCTGGCCCCTACCGCTGGAGCAAACCCTTGGGGAGCAGCAGACAGGGTCTCTGCCCCCAGCCAGCCAATCTCTTCCCCTCCTCACCTTGGCCAAGCTGGGGTCTCCGCCTGAGTGCAGAGAAACCAGGCCAGAGGCAGATGCCCAGACCTGTTCTCAGCCTACCCCTGGACTAACCTTACCCCACCCGAGTCACCTGGCGAGGCCTTTGAATGCAGAAGTGCTTGGACAGGATGCTCAGGGCCATGGTGGAACCTCTTCCGCGATGCCTGTGGCCTTCTTCAGGGGGTGTGTATAGTGGACAGGGTGGCTGGGGGCCAGCGATCTGCTCTTCCCTACAAGTCCGCACAAAGCTGGGCGTGGCTGCAGGAGGCTGTTGAATCACTGGTTGCCTGGGCCGGTCCTGAGGGAATTGAGGGAGAAAACAAGCCCCTATCCCCTGAGGCAGAGGTCTCAGGGGCCAAAGTGGGGAAAGATGCGGGCTGTAAGGGCTGGATTTCATGAAAGGATATTGTGGAGGGCAGAGGCCAAAGGTGCACTCGGAGAGTGAGGGAAGGCCCAGAGGAGATCACAGGGTGGGGTTGAGGGGACAGAGTCAGCAGTTTTGACCCCCTTTCCACAACAACCATGTGGTCATGTGAGAGAGGAACCCATGCCACCTGCTGGCTCAGTGGCGGGTGTCAGGTGTCTGTCAGGTGCATAGCTGGTGCTGGACTCCCCCAGAAAGTCCCTTTCTTGCTTCTCACCTGGCTTTGGAGACACAGCAGGAAGCCTGAAGGTAGATGTGCATCCTGGTGCTGCCAGAAAGCAGCTCCCTCATGGGACTCTGTGGGCCTCTGCTTCTTCATCTGGCAAATGAATATAGCGTGTGTGCCGGGCGGCCAGCTCAGGAAATGAGCTAAAACGACTCCAGGATGGGCAGGGCCGGGGGGCAGTGGTGCACAGAGATGAGGAAACTTGGGCACCAGCCTTGGGATTCTCTGGGGCTTGCCGCCTGGCAGCTGTTGGACCTTGGGCAAGTTTGTGCACCTCCCTGTGCCTTTTTCTTGTGGGTAAAGGGCGATAGTGAGACAGTTTCCACCTCATGAAGAGCTGCAAATGCTCAGGGAGCCTTCAGACTTCCTAAGCGCTGGCCTGGGTGAGGGATGAGCGCTCTTTGCCCGGTATGCCAGGAGGGAGGGCAGGCACCTCCCAGCCCATCAGTTTGGAATTCATCGTAATCCAGGCAGCTGTGTTGCTGATCGGTGAGATTTTAAACCTGTCTTTGTAGAAAAGGTGGATCTTACTCTGGGTGGGCAGAGAACAATGTAAAGCCAGGACTGTTTCAATCCAAGTCTCTAGAGCATTGGCTTTTGGCTGGGGTGATTTTGCCTCCTGACTTGAGGTGGCACCGGGCCACATCTGCAGACAGTGTTGGCTGCCATGGTAGGGGGAAGGTGCTGCTGGCATTTAGAGGATGCTGCTGAACATTCTACAACGCTCAGCACGACCCTGAGGACAGAATGGTCAGGCCCCAAGTGTCCCTGTTGCTGATGGGGAAAATTCTAGGAAATGGTGCTCTATGGTCAATCCTTCATTCTGATGGTAAGCCTGAGGGGTTATAGTGACTCCTCAAGGCCCCTGCTGCCAGGGCCCATCCATGTCCTGGGACTGTGCATCTTATCCTGGTGCTTCCCAAGGGATGAGTAGCGCCCCTTGTGGTACTTTCTCATGACAGGTGCTCTTGATTCCACCCTGTGGCTTCTTGACTGGCTTCGTTTTACAGATGGCAAAACTAAGGTACAACAGTAAAGGAAGTCCACAAACCCTTGAGGTGCCAAGGGTTGGCTCCCCAGGGGCCTGGTTTCAAGGCTGTGCCCTGTTCTCAGTTGATGATAAGGACTCCCAGACTCAAAAAAGACCCTTGGAGCCCCTGTCCCTCCTGCTGTACCCAGTGTCCCCTCAGGAAGGGCTATGTCCCAGGTCCTCCCAGAAAAGGTACCTGGGGCTATGGTCCCCGCAGGGCCACCGTTGGCTGGGCATGGTCCACTAGGGAGAAAGACCAAAGCCAGGGGTACCACCAGGTGCCTTCATCCCTGTCAGTTCACTAGTGCTCTCCAAGCCACTGGAGGCTACAATAGCTACTTCTCCCCATTTTACAGATGAGGAAACTTGGGCCCGAGTAGTAAGAGTGCAGTGGACTCAGGCCAGACCCTGATTCCCAGCTGGCGCTTGTCTTGTCACTCTTGGGAACAGTGAGGTCCAGCTGTTGCCCCTGCTATTGCCCCAAGGGTGTGGGCTTTTGAATGTTTCTCCTCTGAGACTCTTCCCTCTGCGTCTCGGTTTCCTCACCTAGGCAGAGGGAGATGATGGCTTAAGGGAAATTTAAAGCCTATAGCGTTCAGAACATGATAGCTAATTGTGACAATGAGAGAAGTGCATACTGACCACTCACGGGGCGTCAGGCACTGCTTTCAACTTTACCTGGGTGACTGCATCTTCCCTATCACCCGGAGGCTCTGGGCCATCACAGTCTCCATCCTACAAGCACAGATGCCAAGGTTCAGGGAGCAGAGAGACAGAGGTAGGCCAGGGAAGCCAGGCTAGCACTGGGAGTAGGTTCAGGTATTTCTTCTCCATCCCTTGGGTCCGGGTGTGATGGGCACAACGGGCATGACAAGGAAGAGCCAGTCCTGTGGCATCAACCTACCAGCCTTCCCAGCTTCATGAAACTGCAGATCACCACTTTGGCCACGAGCCATTGGAGAGAGCCAAGTCTCTCCTCCCAAATCCTCAGGTGGTTGGGGGTGGGAGGCCTAGAAGGAGCAGGGAGGCCCTGTGTCCCCAGGCATATTCCTGTCTTCTCCCAGGGAGAGAGTGTGGTGGTGTCCTCCTGGGCTGAATCACCATGCCAGGTGTGGGGGCAGGGCAGAGCAGGAGCTGTTTTCTGTTCTCTGGGAACCTGCAGACTTGGCACAGATTCTCCTGGCCATTGTGACTCCCACAGGCCTATGCCGTGATGACTTGCCCTAGCTCTGTCTCTGTCACACACACACACAGCCAGCCCTGTGCTCCAGGAAGACACGTCTAAGCCTCTGGTTTAGGCAAATGTGTGATCATTGATCCTCATAAAAACATGGAATTTCTGCTTCTCTGGACATCACTGGATACTCCTGTGAGAATGCAGGAAGGTCCTGTTTGTGGGAACTCACTGGGAGCCTGAGGTGGCTCTGTGGGACTGTGTATATCACCGAGTGGCACTGCAGTCCTGGAAATGCCCACCCTGGCGTGGCACCACAACTGCACAGTCTGTCCTTGAATTAACTTCCAGGGACAGATGATGAGGACCCTCAACTTGTAGGGGGGCAGTGGGCCTTGATGGTGGCCCTACCGTGAAGAAGCAATGCCCAGAGGTTCCACATGCTGACCAGTGCCCATACTGCATAGGGCAGCTCTTCTAGAGAAGCTGCTGGCGGAGGCACCTGGTCTGGCACATGCTGGGCGGCTTGGTGATAGCTGTGCTGCTTGCCCACCCACCGCCCTTCAGTGGCCTCCTTGGGGCAGGTATAGCCTTCAGCTCAAAGCAGCCCCCTTATTTGTCACCTTAGCTTGGGGGGCGGTGTGTGTCTTAGTTGTGAGGTATCTTGCTGCCCTCCACAGTGTCCTGGGGGAGCAAGTGGAGTGGGGGTTAGTATAGGGCAGCTGGAGCCTCCTTCTTGGGGGCTTCTGGCAGGAGCACTTCTGTCCCCTCTGAGCAGCAAGATCGCATCCTCCCTACCCAAACAGCAACCACAGCCAGAGCACGAGATGGGCTGGAGGGAGGGTCTGGCCAGGCTGGAGCCATGAAGAGAGGGGATTCATCCCTACCAGCACCTGAAGGAGCAGATCTTGAAGAAGAACATCTCTGGGGAAGTGACGTTCTGTCCAAGTCCTCACCCAGGAGGCCTAGTTTGTCCACTTTGGAAGTCACAGGAGGGCAGCTGGAGGGCCAGGGCTGAGGACCTGCAGTGTGTGTGTGTGGGGGGGGCGGCGGTACTTGAAAAATATAGGTGGGGATGTGCTGTGGAAGAAAGACTGAGACCTGTCTGCATCTATCAGAAACAAGATGCCTGTCACATCTGTTAGGGAGAACAGTACATACTGTCTACTGGGGCATGAGCCAAAACATCCAGGGTTACCTTGTCTAATTCTGATTCCAAAACCAATGAGACCTTGTGCCTCCCAGGTAGGTACCAACTCCCCATGAGGACAACGTCATCCTAAGACACACGATGACGTCAGAGGATGTGATGACCAATGAAACCCCATGGACAAGGTGTCTGTAAACAGGCTGTTAGTGTCCTGGGCTGCCTCATAAAAACCTACTGTGAACTGGGGGCTTTAAATGACAGGAACCCATTC